CCAGACCCCTGCCCCTCTGTCCTTCATACCTCAGACCCCTGCCCCTCTCCTCCATACCCCTGCCCCTCTGTCCTTCATACCCCAGACCCCTGTCCCTCTGTCCTCCATACCACAGACCCCTGTCCCTCTGTCCTCCATACCACAGACCCCTGTCCCTCTGTCCTTCATACCTATGTCCTTCATACTCCAGAGCCCTGTCCTTCATACCTATGTCCTTCATACTCCAGACCCCTGTCCTTCATACCCCAGACACCTGTCCCTCTGTCCTTCATACCTATGTCCTTCATACCTCAGACCCCTGCCCCTCTCCTTCATACCCCAGACCCCTGTCCTCCATACCACAGACCCCTGTCCCTCTGTCCTTCATACCTATGTCCTTCATACACCAGAACCCTGTGCCTCTGTCCTCCATACCACAGCCCCTGTCCTTCATACTTCAGAGCCCTGTCCTTCATACTTCAGAGCCCTGTCCTTCATACCCCAGACCCCTGTCCCTCTGTCCTTCATACCTATGTCCTTCATACCTCAGACCCCTGCCCCTCTCCTTCATACCCCAGACCCCTGTCCCTCTGTCCTCCATACCACAGACCCCTGTCCCTCTGTCCTTCATACCTATGTCCTTCATACACCAGAACCCTGTGCCTCTGTCCTCCATACCACAGCCCCTGTCCTTCATACTCCAGAGCCCTGTCCTTCATACCTCAGACCCCTGTCCTTCATACCCCAGACCCCTGTCCTTCATACTCCGGAGCCCTGTCCTTCATACCTCAGACCCCTGTCCTCCATAACCCAGACTGACCCCTATCCTTCTGATCTCCATACCCCAGACCCCTTTCCCTCTGTCCTCCAGACCCCTGTCCCTCTGTCCTCCATAACCCAGACTGACCCCTGTCCTTCTGTCCTCCATAACCCAGAACCCTGTCCCTCTGTCCTTCATACCCCAGAACCTTGTCCCTCTGTCCTTCATACCTATGTTCTTCATACTTCAGACCCCTGTTCCTCTGTCCTCCATACCCCAGACCCCTGTGCCTCTGTTCTTCATACCCCAGATCCCTGTCCTTCATATCTCAGACCCCTGTCCCTTTGTCCTCCACACCCCAGACCCCTGTCTCTCTGTCCTTCATACCCCAGACCGACCCCTGTCCCTCTGTCCTCCATACCCCAGAACCCTGTCCCTCTGTCCTCCATACCACAGACCCCTGTCTTTCTGTCCTTCATACCCCAGACCGACCCCTGTCCCTCTGTCCTCCATACCCCAGAACCCTGTCCTTCATACCCAATACCCCTGTCCCTCTGTCCTCCATACCACAGACCCCTGTCCCTCTTTCCTCCATACCCTAGAAACCTGTTCCTCTGTCCTTCATACCCCAGACCCCGGTCCTTCATACTCCAGAACCCTGTCCCTCTGTCTTCCATACCTCAGACCCCCGTCCTCCATAACCCAGACTGACTCCTGTCCTCCATAACCCAGACTGACCCCCTGTCCCTCTGTACTCCATGCCCCAGACCCTTGTCCTTCATACCCCAGTCTCATGTCACCTTAAATACTTTTAACTTGTTTTCTCTTCTACACTTTCCCATATTTGTGTATCACTATATATATATATATATAGTTTTAATGTGTATCAGGCTCAGTAATGTCTAACTCTTCCAGGTTCCAGGACTGAGGAAATGCTTCCTCCCAACTGCAGCAGTCTGATCACTGGGGGAGGTGGGACTGAGGAAATGCTTCCTCCCGCCTATAGCAGACTGATCACTGGGGGAGGGGAGACTGAGGAAATGCTTCCTCCTGCCTGCAACACACTTATGATCTTATGTGAGGCAATCTCATTGCCTGAAGCCCAAGGACAGGTTTTTTTTTTTTGTTTTTTTTTAAATCTTTATCGAAGCCCGTGGACGTGCATCAAAACTTCCCCCTGTGAACAAAAAAAGTGCAACCGTGAAATCACAGCACACAAAAACGTGCACAAGGGGGCAAGGTCCTTCCAAAGAAGGGACCTACTTTCCCGACCCCCGGGGCGCAAGGCTCCTGACAGGGGTTGAGACTGTCGGACCACCAACCCGAAGGCCGGTGGACCCATTTCCTTCGGGGACCTGCCGAAACAGGTCCCTCACAGTACTAGGCAGGGGGGATCTCCCGAAGAGAGACCCCCCTTCCTGGGCGGGAGAAGACAGAGAACCCCATAGGAGGCACAGAATCTCCTCCCAGCATCAGGAATAGGCCCCGAAGAAACCTGCACCATCAGCATCTGTGGGTCAAAAAGCTTTAAAAAAAAGCCAATCGTGCATAGAGTGCATAAATCATACTAAAGTGCCAGTGCACCACTATGACAGGCCTTAGGGGCGGGTGCTAAAAAATTGCCCCGGACTAGCCATAAGGCCTGTCCAAGAGGCGATGTGCAGAAAATAGCAATGTGGTGTGTGAAGCCCAAGGACAGGTAATGTAGGTGAGTATTGACCACGCTGCTATATACTGTGACATGTCAGGATTGTGCACTTTGAATGTCACTGAGAGGTTCACATTAAGGACAACGTATGGAGGGCATTGAGTGCTTTTCACATCAGAAGCTCCCGTTATCGTTCACATTTTCATATTGATCTGAAATCTCAGTGCGGCTCGGCCAATGGCTCCCTTAGTTCTGGGCCACGGTATACACGTTGGACCCGCTGAACTGCTACAAGACAAGCAGACGCTCTCCTGCCCATGTTCAGTCAGATGTTAGCCTGGTTGACTTCCTCTTTGTGGTTGTTCAGCAAGGGTGCTCAGTGCACTGTCTGACAAAGACGGAGAACCTACAGAGCTGCCTAGGGCAGGGGTAGCCAAACTCCGACCCTACAAAACCCCATGATGCATCTCTCTCCGGGAGTCGTCACTGTTTGAATCTTGCAATGCCTCATGGGATTTGTAGTTCCACCACAGCTGGAGGGCCGGAGTTTGGCCACCCCTGGCCTAGGGCAATATATTGGGCAATCTGGGCGCTGTGATGTCTCCTGTGGCATATCCACGTAGAAGGGCCAACAGTCGTGCCCCGGTTTGATGGAGGGCGATAAGCAGGGAGCGCAGTGTGGGGAGAATGATGGCAGTACAGGGCACTATGGAGGTAGACAAAGCCTTCACTGTACATTGATAAGGAACAAATGGGCTTTCTATCGGGCTCGCTCAGAGCTGGAGCCGAGTGTTCTGGGTCATAGGGCCTGAAACAAGGAGAGTCTTATAAGCTTAACTGTGGCAGTGTTCTCTGCAGCTGGTGGGCAGGGTGTCCTTGTCCAGAACCACCACTAGAGGTCCATCTTTACTGCAGCATCCTCCATCCCGCCCCAATTGCTTTGATCTGCGCAAACTCACATATTGAGTTCCCTTCCAGTGCCAGAGAGCTCGGTGTAAACCCGTCCTGTGCCAAACTCCTCGGTGAGCCCCGGTCTGCACCACACACTGCACCAGAGTCCAGAACTCCTCTGTGTCCATCTGATACCAACATCCCCTCATAGAGACACAGCAGAGAGCCATCGTAAGGGGACCATCCATTGGGACTTTCTTGGTGAGAAGTAAATATCCGGTCAGAAGCCAATAACAGTGTATCCAAAAAATGTTTTGTTTTTTTTAAGTTTTAAAGTGCGGAAGGGCAGGACCGGATATACTCTCTCTGCTGCCCCAAGGCCAGGTTCCTCAATGTCCTGTCCTCCTCATCCTTCTCCCTGACCTCCCCATCCTTCTCCCTGACCTCCCCAGCCATCCCTCTGTTCTCCTTATCTGTCCTGCTGTGAACCATCCCAGCTGAACTATGTGTACACAGGAATCCCGCCGGCATGTCACACTGCGGCAGAATGCAGAAACATTCTTCACGGATTTGGCCACTTTAAAACTCTTTATTCATAGAAACTAGTAGTGGGGCTCGTGAGATTAATAACGTGCTGGATTAGTGTGATCCTAGTTCATTTTATTACTTCATTGCTGTGCTGTATGTGTATAGGCCAATGTAGTTGGATCTGTATGTGCGTTATAATTAATCGAAATTAAATCGATTACATTTTTTTTCCATTAATCTAACACAAACATTTTAATCATTCCCGGCCCTAGTAAAAACTGTCAAAAAACATGTCACCTCATTAAGTGGTCCTGAGCGACTTCCCCATCAATGAGACCTTGTTCAGAAAGTGTCCCTTTAATGTCCCTTCATCACCCAAGCCAGGCCCGGCATTCACATACTGTGCGTTTCTTTACAAAGGCTGAGCGTTGGGGTTTCCAGGCAGGGGTCAGCTTTGTCCGGCCCCAAAACAAGTTTAGAATAGTTGAACCCTCAGGAGACATTTAACCCAATTGCTGCCATAGACATCAGTGGCGGCT